TGAAAGGAGACTTTATGAATGGAATTACTGAAACGTGAGAAAAAATGTAGCTTCTCAAGAAATCACTCAACAGTTAGCTTTAAGAGTTTTGATCCTATGTAGTCAAGAAACCCACCAGTTAATTAAATCCTATACTTTACTCCAGTACACTTTGACTGGAAATTAAAGCTTAAAACAAAAGACTATAATTCGAACGGGCCAAAAATTTAGTCAGCGAAGGTTTAAACGAAGAAAGCTTACCAATTCGTACTTTAACTCTTCGGAAAACAATCTGCATTATAAATCAGAACTCGTACCAATAATACTTTCAGAGATCCACACTTTAAAAATGTCCTGACCGGAATTATTTGACAGTCATAATTCCACTTTATATAAAACTAGAACAAATTCCTTGATTTTAAGTTATTTTGTGTTAGTTAGTAATAATTTCTTCCAGCTTTGGTTTTAAGTCATTTGGAAAAAAAAAATGATAAAATTATTTTTGCCAAAAATTTTTATGCATTAAATTCTGTCGCACTATCGCTACAAAAATTGCTGCAAAAAGTTAGATTCATGGAACATTCATAATTTTTTTGTTGCTTTTTAATAAGGTTCTGCTTTGCCAATGAAAGGCGTAATCTAAGAGTAAAACATCTTTAAAAAAGTTTCCGGATAAATTTGAGGAAATAAGAAGCTAAAACTTCATTAAGATAAGGAAGTAGCAAACTATTTCCAAATGTCGAAGAAAAAAATGAGATTTTCCAGTGAGCTTTCCAATCAAGGTAAGGCTTTCCATCAGGCAAAATTAATGCGGCAGACTGGTAATGAGATTCAAAAAAAAAAAGAAAAAAAAAAAAAGATTAATTATGTGAGAATAAACTAAGATATAAAAGGCAGTCGAGATAACGTTAAGTCTGAGTTGCTCATCTATTCAAAATTAAGCTTCCCAAATCGTTCGCAATGTTCGCAATTTTCTAACAAGCAAACAGAAACGAGAGACGGGGTCACCAAGTGCGATTAGTTCATTTGCTGGAACACTCCACAGCTTTATTGGTTCTCTCAGTTGTTGAAGTCTCTGAAACCAGACTTTCTGTTGAAGTACATGTCTGATTAAGAAACAACTAGCAAATTTTCTAAAACTAGTTCTTACAGTGTCTGGAGCATCTTGTCGGTAAATGACGTGATCATTGACATTTAAAAAGTTAATGGCAGCGTCGTGCTGCATCGTCAATGTTTTGTATCGAAAAGTCGCTTGACGTTCAATTCTCTAAAAATGACTGCAAGAAAAATGCTGTTGTGTTAACATACCATCTACCTTAAGCAGCAAATAAAACTTGAAAAAAAACTCAAAAACTGTTCTGAAAGTCGAAGAGTACGACCAAGATCGACTAAGAAATGACGAAAAAAAAAAAGTAAAAAGTAAAACAAATTTACGTGTAAAACATCTTCTGCATCTTTGGAACTTCCTACAGCAATCACATCCGTTGTTATCATTGACACATAATGTTTTAAGGGCAAGTCTCCTGGAAGCGTTATAGGCACAACATTCATGTCAGAAAACGTTCTTCCAACAACCTGCAGAGTTCAGTTGCAGGATGATGGTTATTTCTAATAGCTACTAAGTTAGAAGCCCCAAAAAAGCGAAGTAAAAATCTTTGCAAAACGACCTTCGCTAAAAAACAAAAGTTATTTCTCACTTACAAACGCCCCTTCAATATTCGTGCCACGGTTACGGATACCAACAAATATTTCTCTTCCAGTATACAAAACATCACTGCCCTCCAAAACCACAGGTTTTCCATTAAAAGTTTCTGGTGTTTCAACAACCTCCCATGCCAATTCACCAAGTATTCGCGAAATCTTAAATTACTAATAGTAGATAAAAACCGGTTGCTTATAAAAGAAACTGACAAGAACAAAACTTTGATTACTTCTTTGTCCCTGCTCCCCACATTCTTCGGGCGAGTAACAAGAGCAGTACCACTTACAACCACTGCAGAGTCTCCAGCGTATAGACTCTGTTGCAGGCAATTTTCTTCCGGAGCCAATTCTATTATGTCAACCCCTGACTGAAGACAGGCAATAAAGAAACTGCAGAACAAAAACAAGTCATAATTAACCCAGACAGAAATGGAAGTATATGAATAAAGAAATAAATAATATATACATTCATATTTATACACATATTTGTATTTTCATATTTATATTTGCATTTGCATCTATATTTATATTTATATATATATATACCTTCGACTCGTAAAACGAATATATACCTCGTCCTACCATACAGCTAACGTTTCATCTCTAACAACCTTATAATCAAAGATTTTTAGAACCCCACAAAAATTTATTACGAAAGCGTAATTAAAGCGCTTTAAAACGCACGAACCTTCCTCAAACTTTCAGAAAGATCCTCCAGCTGCTTCTTAGCCAGAGCGACATTAACAGTCGACTTTTCTTTCTCGGAAAACTGAACAGTGTCAGGAATACGCACAACAATAGCATGCGTATACTTCATCGTGCCGGAAGGCAGAAGGATTTTGCTAAGCCCGTTGTATCAGTCACTAAAAAAAACCTTAAATAAATCCAATTTAAAACTAAAGAGGACATTATGAAAAACGCAAAACTTAATAGACGGCACTTGTCAAAAACCTAATTTTAACTTTTTGCTTTTTACAACAATCGATCCGTAAAAAAACACTCACTGGTCGCATTTCCGGACAAAGCAAAAATCATACATCAGGAAACTAGAAGTTATTTCACTACCTTAAAACGCTGAAAACTTTTGTTTTGTTCAAAATTTCTCAAGGAAAGCGTCAGTAATAACTGAAGGCCAGAATAATTGCTAGAAGCAGATTTCTATCCTAGTTATCAAATGGACATATCTAAAATTTTGAAGAAAAATTGCCTGCCACTGCAAAACAGGACAGGGTACAATGAGAGGAATTTACAGTTCAAAAGATTACGAACTTTGCAGAATTGATAGTATTTAAACATCAAAACCACAACCAATATATCAAACCTCATGGAACCCTCCACTTACATGAAAGTACAATTCGTAGTCGTTTCTTACTCCTCTTATTGAAAAAAAAAACATTTACACACTCCACTGAACATGAGTTTTATATACAACATTAGTTTTTACCAGCGAATTTTTTATTCAAAGCCAACGCAACCCGACTTCATGTACAGCATGTCAATCATTTATATTATCCGACAGTACAGCAGACATGAAAAATTACTAATTTTTAACAAGGAAATAAAAAATATAAACCTTTACGGCCACCAATAATTTCTTTGCAAAAACAGGAATTACTGGAACATTTAGAAGATCAACTGATTAAGAAAACAAACCAAGTTTTATCTATATATATAACCAACAAGCTGAAAACCAGTAATCAATAAAACATACTCTTGATAGGAAACTATAGGGCAAAATATCTCTACAGAATAAAAACAGAAAGCAACTGCAAAATAGCAACGATCACGCTTATTCAGACAAGCGATGACCGTAGAGATACAGAGGAAAAAAATTTTTTAAACGGAACACTGCTATGCTAGCTGCAAAACTGTATCGAAGCTTTAATGTTCTATTCTAGCCAAAACCGAGAGCCTTTGCGCGACTAGTTTCTTAGTTTTTTTTTTAACAGCAAATAAACTATATGCATGCTGCTCAGTTTAGCTAACCTCAAAATTTTTGAGACGTGATGTTCTAAAACTGGTAAAAATTTATTTACTGTCTTCCTCACGTACTTCGCTTTTACGCAACACTCATATTTGTGAGAAAGCAGTCACTGAAAAAACAAATCTCCTCAACTTTCTGCCACCTTTGATTTTTTCCTCCATTGAAGAATTCCTCTTTTTAAAGCTGTAATATTAGTCTCTTTGCCAACTACGATCAATCCGCGTTTTTTTTTTTTTTT